AGCGAGGTGTGGGCGCAACACCGAGGGTTGCGATCCCGTTGCCGGTCCCGGTCCGGTATGGGCGCGACACTGAGGGTTGTGATCCATTGCCGGACACGAAAAAAGGAAAAAAAAAAAAAAAAAAAGAATGAAGAATGCAGAGTGATTCCGTCTCCAGATTTAAAAATTAAGATCAGGAAATGGAAAACTGAATAATAATATCGAATGTATTCTCATTCTGCATTATGGGAAATCGATGGAAGAGGAAAGAAAAAATAACAGGGAAAAGTAGGGTGAGCTTATTAAATGCTTACTAAGCACTGATAAACGGGCTTACCTAGTAATACAGATTTTTAAGTGGAAGTTTTTAGATGTGAAGCAAGTTAAACAGAACTACACTTGGTATGAGAAAGATTTTATTTCCTACATAAAATTTTAATATATGGGAATTGTGAACATCTATTTTTCCCCATTATTAGTGATAAAAACTCTCTGCCAGCTGTTTCGAAAAGTTGGGGTAGGAGATCTCATGTTATAGAGGAAGATGTCGTCTAGTTTTGTTGAGTTATATCTTAGGGCCTTTTAACATACTACTTCTGAGGGCTTTCAAAGCCTCATGTTTTGCCATTAGGGGTATAGCCAAGAGACAACCTACTGTTTTGTCCAGGTGCAAATGAAAACATGAAGCTATGTCCACTGGCTGGGTCATAGCTGCTGATTCCTGATCTCACCCACCAGGGTAAAGAGGGTTTCCTTAGCATGTTGAGCTGAGGCTGTGCACAGTTTACCTGGTACCTTCAAAGTCTCCACCGTTATCCCACTGAAGGTAGATAGCAGCAGTAGATCCTTAAACTCTGTTCTGTTCTAACGTGGGCCTTATTTTACAAAATAGGCCACTAGCACACTTGAGCACAGGCTCTGCCTGGGGTCCAGAAGTGTGATGCCTCCGTTATTCATAATGACACTAAAATGTATTTGGTGGTTGGCTTTAATTTGTAGTGCTGGCCCGAAGAGCTGTGCAGGAGTACATCATTACATCAATCAAGGAAGTGTTGAGGATTCACTTCAACCGTGTGGTGGAGCTGAAGGTGAGTCTCTGCAGCTCGAAAGTCTGACGTCTGTCACTACCGAGGCTGATGCAAGATCCTGGGTTGAAGGCAGGGATGATGGCTGTGGAATCATTTTCTTTCCTCTCTTCCTTCTCTTTTCCTGGTTAATTCCCACTCAAACTCTGTGTCTTCACTAAAAGTTCACTGCATCAGGGAAGCCTTTCCTGACCCCAGATGAGGTTAGATTTAGTCTGGGGGTGGGTGGGGGAGGGAGGGTGTTGACAGAGTTGGAACAAAGGGGCTGTCAGACCAGAGGCAGCAGAGTCTGGGGTGATGACCTGCATGATTTTGCTTCCCTTGGTTTACATTAACGGACTTGGATTGGAGTTAAATTAGATTTTAGAGTGAGTCCTTATGCGTCTTTCTGTACATGCAGTGAGATAGAGGTAGATTTCCACATCTCTGTACTGGACCCCATGCAGATGCCTCCTCCTCCCAAGAGCTCAGCAAGCCAAGCTCTAGGTGCACCATCCAGGACCAGTTCCATGAGCCACCTGTAGTTGTGGGGCACGAGAAACAGGGCTGCTTGGAATTGAGATGTGCTCTAGGTGTAAAATGCTCGCCAGCTTTCAAAAGCGCAGTGACAGTGAACAAAGGAATGTAAAATATCTCATTCATAGTTTTTTTGACTACAAGTTGAAATGATATTTCAGATATATGAGGGATCTTCAAAAGTTTATGGAAAGATTTAGATTATATTTTAATTCTATTTTACCATGAACTTTTTGAAGTACCCTCATATTGGGTTAAATAAAATATATCTGAAATTAATTTCACCTGTTTCTTCTTATGTTTTTTAATATGGCTGCTAGAAATTTTAAAGTTGTGTATGTGGCTCCTGTTTTATTTATTTTGGACAGTACTGCTCAATAGAATAAGTGTTCCTTTCTATGTGATTTAAATACTACAAAAACCTTGAATTTTCCATAACTCATTATTTAGTTAATATTATTGGCCATTTTTCTTTTTTTTGGTGCCCTTGTAATTTTGTGTGATTTTTGAGAAGGCTGACAGAGTGTAAAAGGGATAGTCAGAATTTTGATTATCTGTGAAGCACTACCCCTTCACTTTAAACTACCAATTAATTTTTTTTACCTTGTTGTACTTTATTATTTTTCTATTCAACACAGCTCCCTCTAAGTTTGAATTGTCTTTTGTATTTTTTATTTCCCTAGGTTTATGAACTGTTCACTGACTTCACTTTTCTGGTAACATCTGGTCCTTTTGTTTACACGGCAATATCAGTCATCAATGTACTTATAAATAGTAAACTTGTGCGTGACCAAACTCCTTTAATTCTCTCTGTGAAACCTTCTTTCCTCGTGCCAGAGTCCAGGTTCCAAGTTCAAACAGGTGAGATGACTGAGCATTGTTTTGATTTGTAAATAGAATTCATTTTAACATTTGGGGGGAGTATTACTTTTTGAATTTATTATTTAATTAAAAACTTTATAGTTATGGAGAATTTCAAGTGTATGCAAAAATACACAGAATAGTTTTTTTTTTTTTTTCCTTTTTGTCTCTTTTTTTGTGACCGGCAACGGATCGCAACCCTCAGCGTCGTGCCCGTACCGGACTGGGACCGGCAACGGGATCGCAACCCTCGGTGTTGCTCCCACACCTCGCTCAGCCAGTGAGCGGGAACCGGTCTGTATGTGGGATCCGAACCCTCGGCGGGAGCGCCGCCGCACTTCCCAAGCGGCGCACTGTAGCAGTGCGCCACCGGGCCGGCCCCCAGAATAGTTTAATGACGCTGCATGTATCCATCGTGGGCTTCAACAATTTTCAGCTCTCCGCCAGTCTTGTTACAGCTGCACTGCCATCTACTTGTCTTCCTCTCACGTTGTTTTGTAGTAAATCTCAGGCATCGTATCATCTCACCTGTAAATATTTCGGCCTCTGCTTCTCAAATTTAAGAACTATTAAACACATACACACACACACACATACACATACATACATACGTATATATGCATACACACATACGTCTATCCTTAATATATCACATGCTCTAAAATTAACAGTAACTCCATAATATCATATTTAACTTTTTATTATGAACATTTTCAAACATATGCAAAAGTAGAGAAAATAACAAAATAATCAAACATATGCCTGTCACTAAGCTTCAAAAATTATCAACATTTTATCAATTTTGTTTTGTCTATCCCCCATGAATTCTTTTGAGGGCACTCTTGTTTTAGAGCAATTCCAGATATCATGTCATTTCACCAATTAATACTTAAGAATTCATCTCAAATGAATTTATATAAATTTGAAATACATCAGTCAGTTGAGTCTTTTGATGGTCAAATTGTTATCCTAGGTCTTTTTCAGTACCAGTCACCTTCACTTTGCCTGTATTTATTTAGTGCAAAGTTGGCTTCCTATATTTCCATGAGATGATACATAGAAATAATACATCATAGTACTTATTTCCATGCTATGGGTGAATTATCTAGTAATTTAGAAACTATTTAGATACTAATTCATAATAACTTAGGTACTGTTTTTCCCTCTCTTCATTCCTTAATACTTAAGAAGTGCCTAGTTCATGGGACTTTGATGGCTGTCCTTCTTTTTTCAGTACTTCAGTTTGTGCCTCCGAGTGTGGATACTGGCTTCTGCAACTTCACCCAGCAAATCGAAAAAGGTCTGATGACAGCCCTCTATGAAGTGAGAAAACACCACCTGGGGACGTATAACCTCACAGTGCAGGTGAGAATATCAGTGCATGCAGCGCAGAATGCTTTTCCCTTTAAAGGGGAAATTGCTTCACAGTGTTACATGTAAGATGCACTCAACACTTATTCGCTCCAGTGGAGGAAATCCGGTTCCTATGGGTCATGGCATGGAGTCTGCACAGCATGAATGGCTGAGCATCTTTGAGGATTGCAGAGTAGCATATAGCAAGGGAGCTCAGATATGGTGAGTGGAAGAGAGATGACCATATGCAGGAAATTCAAGAATGTTCTGAAAAGGAATGGTATCAACCTGCATATCCAATGGGGATGCCTAAATGCACTGGTGTTTTCATATTATGGATACCATGAGGTGCAGTGCTTCACTCTAAACACAAAGGATATAGTTACTAATCAAAGAACTGGCTCTGTATGTATTGTATGGAAACTACCACTGTCTTTATATTTCTTTGTTTTTTTGTTTTTCCTACGTATTCTTTGTTCTCTCTACGATTTTGGCACTCCTGGATGCACCTTCCATGCACCTTTCTTATTTTTTCCTCCTATTTTCCATCTCTCTTTTTTCTGTTCTTTATTTTACAGATTTTCTAAATTTTGTCCTCCAAGTCATTAATTTATTCTTCAGCTGTGTCCGTTATGTTATTGAATCTGTCTAGTGAGTGTTTTTTAGCCATCATTTTTTTCGTTGTTCTTTGCTGTGTTTTCCTTGCAGCCTTTCCTGCAGTGAGGTAGCATCATCTCAAATGGTGATGTGATGTCACCTTGAAGGTCTCTGAGGACCTAGCTCAGTTGGTTAGAGTGCAGTGTTACAACACCAGTGTCCATGGTTTGGATCCCCTTAGCAGCCAGCTGCCAAAAAAAAAGACTCCAAGGACATTAATTAGATTTTTCAAAAATTTGTCTTCCGTTTCCTGAATTAACTCTGTTTTCTCTGCAGCCATTGTTCTGTGTGTTGATCTTGGTCCTTTGCTTGCTAGATTTCCGTAAATGTCTGGAGACCATTGCTTGTTAGGAATAAGAACCAGGTTGTTCATTTCGGTAGCATGTCCAGCTTTCCCCTTCAGCTGTGGACTGGTTCTATGTCAGCCCAGTCTCCTGATGGGAGAACTCATCGGAGCACTGGGTGGAGTATACCGTACAGGCTTCTCTCTCACAGAGCAGGCTGTGGTCAGAGACTGGCAGACTTGGACCCCCACCACCCCTCAGTGTCCAGATAAGGAGGTTTTTCCTTTGGGGATGGAGCACCTTGGTGTGTTTTTCATGGCAGAGCTGCCCTTTCTCTCGTTTTCTTTCCCTCTTTGTCTCGTGTGCACTGGTGTGCACTGGAGTCATCTCAGGCTCTTACCACCTTCTTGCTTGGGGCCCAGACCCATAGAAGGTCTTTTTGTCCTCTTAGGCAGGGGTTCACTTTCCTCAGGGAGCAGTTCTTTGGGCTCTTCTGGGTGAAGATGCGGTAGCTGCTAGCGCCTCTGCACTGGCCTGGGTGTGGCTGTTAGAGAGGAAAGAGGAGGGAGGGCAGTTGACTCAGCTCTCTGGCACGTTCTTTTCATTAATTATTCTGGTCTCCATCCGTATCTTACCCTTGGTCTCCTTCCTGTGATCTCTGCCAGGGAGTCTCTCTGGCCGTCTTGGGGAGAATGGCTCTCAGCTCTGCTGTGGTCTGTGCCTGTGTACGTTTGGGTCTCACTTCCCCTAGTTCTGGTTTTTATCAACATGATCCTGTCCTTTCTCCATCTTCCAGAAATTTGACAGAATCTCTGGTTTTCTTCTATTCTCAGTGCTGCTGTGGATTTATTCCCCTTTGTTCAACTTATTGTTATTTCAGTGGGATTTGGGGTGGGAGGGAGAGAGAGAGAGAGAGGCTATAAATACATGTGTTCAGTTCATCACTTAATGTAAAAAATATTTTCAATGAACTGAGCATTTAAAGTCTTGCAAAAGGGAACCAAGTTAGAAAGCCATTTACTCTTCCTTTAAAAACTTTATACCTCCTTTTAAAAAAATCCATGGGGGAACTTGTAAGAGGGAAGTTATAGCCAGGCTTTCAGCTGAATGTTTTAATGTATTTTAGAAACTTATTCTAACTTCATTCTTTCAGATCTTGAATATCACCGTGGGATCCTCAAGGCTGGCTCCTCGGCGGGGCCCAGTGAATATTATCTTTGCTGTTAAAAGCACACAAGGATATTTGAACGGGTCAGAAGTGAGTGAGCTGCTCAGGAACTTGAGTGTGGTGGAGTTCAGTTTCTATCTGGGGTACCCGGTGTTGCAGATCGCGGAACGTAAGTACTGCATGCCTTTGAAGTGTTGGGGAAGTGGCTGAGGATGTTTTTGTTGGTGGAACTTCTAACATTTTCTAAAAATTGTAAAATCTTTTTTAAAGACTAATTTTTTAAGAGTGATTTTTGGGTTCACACACAAATTTGATCTGAAGGTACGGAGGTTTCCCATGGACCCCCTGCCCCCAATACATGCGTAACCTCCAGCATTATCAGCATACCCCACCAGAGTGGTGCATTTGTTACAGCTGGAGAGCCTGCATTAACATAACACATCATTATCATCCAGAGTCCATAGTGTATGTTAGGGTCCACACGTGGTGCTGTGCATTCTATGGGTTTGGACAAATGCGTGATGATATGTATCTACCACTGTAGTATCATACAGCATGTTTTCACTGGGACCTCTTTTTTCAAACTAAATACTTGACTGAACTCCAGAGTATAAATCAGATAAATTGGAACTTGTCAGATTCAAGCCAGGGTGGGCTTGCAGGTCCCTCCTCATGCATGTGTCTCGCTTTTATTCTCTTTTGAGAGTAAAGGGGCACTATTAAAAAGTACGCCAATTCTGGGCAAGGCAAAACTATAGAGGTGGAGAAGTGTTGTCAGAGGTTAAGGGTGGGAGGAAAGTTTGACTGCAGAGGGTAGCAGAGGACAGTTTCCAGGGGGCGAGGAAACTGTTCAGTATCTTCATTGTAGTAGTGATTATGCAACCAAATGCATTTATCAAAATCCATAAAACTGTATGCCAAAAAAAGTGAATTTTACTGTTTGTAAATTTAAAAGTAAAAAAGATAATAAATGAAAATAAGCAAAACCTTTCTCCCCAGCTGAAGCAATTAGATTCACAGTGCAAATGGAGGTGGTAGGGGCAGGTGTTGGGGAGAATGTTTATTTCAAAAAACAGTAGATTACAGAATTGAAGACAAGCGAAAAATAAATCGAATTGTTTTTCAAAATGGAGCAGCCACATGGCTTTATGGTACTGAATGTATTTTAGTGTACTGTTAATTAAAGAGAATAACTTGTAAAATGCAAAAGTAGACAGGGATAAAGTTGTTATTTACAAATAGCAACTTTTGGTTATGTGGGATGCATGTATGACTAACATAATAAGTATGCCAGGCAACAGGGGCACACTGGGACTGTCCGGAGCAAGCCGGGACATGCGGTCACTTCACCCTGAGTCATTGCTGGGAAAGCCGAGGGCTTTGAAGAGCACAGTGTGGAAATGCATTGCTCTAGAACAGTGACATTTCAAGGAGAACTTGTGGGTGATCTCTCTGTGAAGCAGTGTCCCATGACTTGGCCGGAGCAGCCCCTGTATTTCTTCCCATCCCTCTCTTTCGCCTTGAGACTAATGTGTTTAGAAGCTGCTGACTGTCTGTGTCTTCGTGCTAATCTGGCATTTTGTTCTTCCATAATCAGAGCTGAATGGTGGAGGAAAGACAGTGTGTTGTAATGTACCCACTACTCCCCAGAACCTTTCTGACTGTTGCAAACATGTTTTTTACAGAGTTTTCTCCTTCCCTCTTTCCTTTTTTGTAGCCTTCCAGTACCCACAGCTCAACTTATCTCAGTTGTTGAAGTCCTCTTGGGTCAGAACAGGTACGTTTGACTTACGTAATGTTTTGAGAATCGTTAAGAAGAAGTCTATGCGGCGTATTGGGAATGATAACGCCTTTTCTGTTTCCTAAATTTAGGGCAAAAGGTACCTTGAACTCTTGGCAAAGAATGAATGAGAAAGGGATTCCAATTTGGCTGTGGGAATGCATCCCACTGAGTTATGGCACAAAAAGGACAGACTTTCTTTAAAATTCATACGTCAAGTCCAGGGCAGAGTCTAACAGGAACTGACAATCTTCCAACCCAGAACAGGATGAGGTTCAGAAGCAAAGATTGCTTTTATTTTCTAAATATATTATTTGTTTGGTTTTATAAGGACAAGTAAGGTAGCTCAGTGAGCAAATAGGAAGGTTTTTTTTGTTTTTGTCTTGAGGGCCTGGGTCAGATATTTAGAGCTATGGTTTCAGAAAAAGGCTTTCTGACCTGTTACACAAAAGTCTTACAGACTCACTGGGTGCCCAGCGTGTAAGCAGCATAGAAACTGGTTTTTGGGGAGAGCGCATGTAGAGTAGCAGAAGTCACCATTTACGGGGTTCCCGTACCCGGTGAGTTCTCCTTGCTCAACATACAGTCTCCTTTGTAAAGGCCCCACCTCTTTGCATGGTGCTCTGGCCCCATTTTCCAGGTAATTTTCATAGCGATTAGGTGACTTGCCCGTGCTTGTGTCTTGAAGTGGATTGGAACCAGTTCTGACCAAAAAGCACTTGCTGTTTCCCCCTCGACTGTGCTGATAAGCCAATTATCTGCTTAGATGATCTTGATCTTATGGCAGGTAACTGAAGACAGGCGGGCACCCTTTCCTCAAGTTAGTTTGTGAGTCTGTCTTAAGATGAGATATGAACTCACACTCTTTCAAGAAGTTTGGAGATGAGTACAGACAAAATGCTTGATCTTCTGTAGGGGCTCTTTGCTCCCAAGCTCCTGCAGTGCTGAGTTCAGGGGACTTCAGGCCACCAGTCTGCTTGGAGCTGTAGATAAGACTTATGAGCTCCACTTCTTGGGCTCTCACTGTCACCTTTTCTACCTTTAATGTCCCCTCTCTAGAAATTGTTATTTTATAGTAATCCTGTATTATTTTCTCATGCACATGTACACACACACACACACACACACACTTTTCCTCTCCACCACTGACTTGTGTTGGGTGCTGCATGTGTTTCCTTTCAACACGCAGTCCTCCTGGGCGTGGTGGAGAAGCAGCTCCAGAATGAGGTGTTCCAGGCTGAGATGGAGCGCAAACTGGCCCAGCTGCTGAGTGAGGTTTCCTCCAGAAGGCGCATGTGGAGAAGGGCCACTGTCACTGCCGGGAACAGCGTGGTGCAGGTACTCCAGGAGGTCAAAGGAGGAGGGGAGAAGGGAGAGAGAGACATGTAAAAACCTGCTGTGTTTCCATGCAAATGGAAAGCGCCACGAGAAAATTCTGATTTCTACTGATTACGGTGTTAGGTAGCTGCGGGATGTGGCTGCATTTCAGTTCAGCTAGAGTCTGGACACATGTACTGAGTCCTTAGTAAGTGGTTGGGTATTACAGTAGACCTTGGGGAGCATGGCAGAAGAATTGTGTTACTGGGTTGCCATACTCTTACACGATCTTATTTTTCATAAGGTAGCTTTGTAATTACCAAAAATGTAGCCTATTTTAAGAAATGGGAAGTATTATTGATAGCATCATAGAGATAAATCCTTCTGGAAGAGGCCTTCAAAAAGAGGAAAGTTGTCTGTCCTGTATTCTGGCATTTCATCTGCCTCCAACCAGCCCAGTTGTCTCATATTACTCAAAATCTCTACTTCGGTAAACTGGCAGACAGGTTACACTGAACAGATATGTTTGAATTGAAAAGGGACCCATTTTAAAATGCACATACAGTTGTCCCTCTGTATCTATTGGGCATTGGTTCTAGGATCCCCACAGATTCCAAGATCTGCAGATGCTCAAGTCTGTGATATAAAATGGTGTGGCATTTGCATATGACCTACGCACATCCTCCCGTATACTTTACTTCATCTCCAGGTTACTTATAATACTGAATACAGTGTAAGTGCTATGTAAATGGTTGTGATACTGTATTGTTTAGAGAATAATGACAAGAGGGAAAAAAGTCTGCACATGTTCAGAACAGGTGCAATTTTTTTTCAAATATTTTCGATCCATGATTGGTTGAATCCACAGATGTGGAACCCGTGGATGTGGAGAACCGACTGCACTCACAGAAAATTGATGGTTGGGGTGTCATTTATTTCATTCTCCATATGAATTATGTGGAGTTTTTTTCTTTACTAACCGCTGACTTGTAGATCTAGGAAAATGGGATATTTCAAGCTATGGCATTTCAGAAACAGGAAACCAGGGTGAAACTCTGAGGTTCAGGGTGTGGGGTTTATGGGCAGGGGTGGGAATGTGGGTGGTTTAGAGGCATTAGAGAAAAAGATGTGACAATGACATTGGGTAAGGGGAGGGTGGCAGTTTTGCCTAGAATTGGCATCATCATCCTCCAATCCTTTTACCAAGTTTTTCCCTCTCAACTTTGCTCTTTGTTTCCCCCTCCTAGAAATGTGGTTCTTAGGTTTCTAAAATAGTTCCTTTGCCAGATGCAGTAAATATAGAGAAAATTTAAAACTAATTAAAATTGAGAATAACCATTAAATAGGTATAAAACAAAGAATAAAAATGAAAATGAATTATAAAAGGTTTGCCTTATTCAACAGCCTGTGGCTTCATAGAGTTCAAGATCTGGGTGTGGGTTAATTTATGCACATAAAACAGTTACAGAGCACCATAAAACTGTGTAATAAGGTGCTAAATTAGATATGCAAGCTCCCTAAGGTAGGAATATCGTGTTTGTGAAAGTTAACCAAGCTACCTGGACTAGATTGCTTACAAACTCTGTTCTTCTCTTTCCTCTTTGAGTAACCCAACATGAAGATGTAGACAAGGATTTGTGTACAGGTGTACAGGGCTCTTCATCAAAACCTAGTTTGTAGAGTGCAAATGTTGAAACAGCCTAAATGTGCAGCAATTGGAGAATGGTTGAGTAGTAAATCTTTATATGTTGGAATATTAATGTACCCTTTTTTTTTTTGAATTAATGAGTGATATAGAAAGATGCTTAAGGGAAGGGAGGATACAAAAGGATGTATGCAGTATAGTCCAAATATTATTATAAAATTCATAGGGGAAAAAAAGAGTGGAAGGAAATATGCCAAGATGTTTACAGTGATTTTCTTTGGTTGAATTTCAGGTGATTTTCCTTTTATTCTATATACTTTTTTACATGTGTTTTTCAAAATTTCTACGAGTTCTATAATTTCTGTAATGAAAAATGTTTAAACAAAATTGGGAATGTTACCCAAAGCGATGACTCCGTGATACCATGTTTATATGGGTTCCAGATATGAATCTGAGCAGGCACATAGAAAGGATGCTGGCATTAGATGTACTGACTAGTACTTTCAGGCTGGACAAGCTTGTAGAATCTTGTAATCGAGGGTGGGTATCACTGGATATGTGGGATTGTGATTTCTACACGAAGAAAACATTTTAAAATTTATTAGAACTTTTGAATGGGATAAATAGGCATATAGGTTAGAGAGACAGGTGGATATAATTTACTTTTCAGTAGCCCTTTGATAGTATTCTGTTCTAATGGCTAAGAAAAAATTCATCAGTGCAGCACAGTTGTTGGGGAGGGAGTAGGTGGTTGGCGAGCAGAAGCGCTCAGGAAACTGCCCTCAAAACAGCAAGCAAAAAAAGAGAACAGATTCTCAAGGGGCGAGAGTTTGGACCTGTGTTCTTAAGGATCTTTAGACGTGATCTGGAAGAAGGAGTTCACAGTGAAATCATGAAATTGTCGATTAGCCAGAGGTTTCCTATGGTGAAGGAGGAGTCTAGCAGCCAAGTCCAGAGCATGGGGGGTGTTACAAATCCACACATGTGGATGCAGAAGTAGCAGCTGCATTTTGCGAACTGCAAATGTAGAGACCAAAAATTCAAATTGCATGCGTAAAATAAAAGCTTCAGAGTCATTGTTGATTCTTTTCTCAGCACATTAGTCCAGTGTTTTGCTGGAGTCTAAAGCAATAATAAAATGGTTGCATATTAAGAGAAATAGCAACAAAATAAAAAGCTGTATTTATGCAGCACATTATGCAGCAGTACATATGTCAGATGTACTGGATTCTGAACTACTAACAGTATGAGACTGCCCTTTAACACCAGAGAGAGAGAAGTTTTGGGATAAATCAAAGTAATATTTGACCCACAAGATTATGAATTTATGAGGTTTTTATCCCTAGACCGGTGGTTCTTAATGGTGGTGGGGTCGGGGTGATTTTGCCTCCACGTCTCCACAATGGGATGTCTGGAGACATTTTTGGTTGTCATATTGGGCACTGGGAGGGTGGAGGACAGGGATGCTACTAACCATCCTGTAATGCTCCCCAGGTCAAAGAACTTTCTGGCCCAAACTGTCCATAGAACCAAGGTTGAGAAACCCTGCCCCAGCAAACAGGGAGGAAATGGTAATAGACTCAGGAAGGGATTGGGTAGAACCGTGAGTCCTGTCGGAGAACCAGGGATGTACCTCACCCTGCTAGTTGACGTTGGGAGTTCAGCAGTGCCCTCCCATGACACGGGGGCCACACTGCAGCTGGTTGGCAGCAATTTGAGACTGCTGGGCTTGCCCACCCTGTGTTCTGTGTATCTCACCTGCCCCTTGTCTCAGCGAAGATGTTGAGCAAGAAGAAGCACATTTGTTATTCTGCCCAGAGGTACCTTCATTTTTACGGTCCCTCTTCTCATCAAGAGAAAGAACCATGGTGATTCTGGGACCCTGAATGGTAGAAGGAGCTTATTATGAAGATTGGAATAAATCCTGAGTGATGCAGTCAGGACTAAGTGACCTGAGAAAGGGCATCTGGAAATACGAGCTTCTAAAATGCTCAGTTTCTGTTACCTTTCAGGTGGTAAATGTGTCGAGGCTGGAGGGAGATGACAATCCTGTGCAGCTCATCTACTTTGTGGAGGATCAAGATGGAGAAAGACTCAGCGCGGTCAGGTCTTCAGACCTGATTAACAAGATAGATCTCCAGAGAGCAGCCATTATCCTGGGTTACCGAATTCAAGGCGCCATTGCCCAGCGTAAGTCCGTGAGGGTGGTCACCTGTGCTGTGCTGGGGTCCAAAGCCAGTCTCGTTCTGACAGGGAGCTCTGAGTTGAAAGCATCCTGATGTGTGCGTAGATTTATTTCTGAAACCCTTATTATGAAGTGGCACTTATATTGTGACTTTTTTTGATTACGGATTTCAATTGCCTGTCACTATAGCCTTCACTGCTGCTTTTTCCTGCCTAGCATTTTGTATTCGTGGTGTTATCGTGAATTATGGCAACTTGCATCAACTTTAATATTTTTCCTCTACTCCTGTACTCTTTCTCTTTTTAGAAATTTTGTTTTAGGTAAAATAATGTGTTTGCTCTGTATTTATTCCAAAATCTCCTGTGTCGTATTTTGAGTGTTGGTGGGGACAGTGAGTCACACAGGAAGCTTGGAGGTGCACTCTGGATTTATTGGCTTCCTTCTGGGCCTCAACACAAAGAAGTCCTTGATCCTGACTCTTTTCAGTCCTGTTTCTGTCCCACCCTATCCTCACCCACTGCACAGTTTAGAAGGTGTTTTGCTATTTCTTTGTTATTGTTGGAAGGTACTTGGCTCCTGCCCCCTGGCAGTGGCTGCTGTCTGTGCCCTCTTTTCCAACTCACAGATTCTGAGTGTTTAAAGTCAAGGAAAAGGTGAGGCATGGAAGAGTGTATTTCTTTAAATAAACCTTTACACATCAGACTGCTGTTTTAATATGGATGTTTTTCCCTTTATGATCCAGAGAGCAGTAAGAATGAGGGGAAACTTGCTCCCAACAATAAAGGGATAAATAAATGGTGAGAAGGAATTCAGCATCTGAGAATATTGAAAAATCCCTTAGAGAGAACATGTAGGAGACAAAGGCAGTTTTTAAAAACCACAGCTTTGCAATTATTGTCAGTAGCAGAAGGTTCTTTGTGAAATCTATACTTGTCCCTGGAGACGAACCAGGACAGGGCTGATGGGCACACGTTCTCCCTTTTACGGAAAAGGACGGGAGTTTAAGCAAATAACCGTTGGCAGTTTGTGTCTGTGTGTTTGAGATATGATTGCACATTAGTGTGTTCTGTTTCAAAGCAGTGAGAAAAACATAACAGGAACACTTCCTTACATTTCATCATGTATGACATTTCTGACAGTGGGAGAGAGGTGCCCCACTCCAGCTATGCACTTGACGTTTTAAAAAAGGTAATTTGCCATAGGATATGGGCACCGTTCAAAGCTACTTTCATCTGGTTTTGCACCGCTCTTTCCTCAGTTTTGGACTGAAACCATATGGGTGACAATCCTGGAGTTTCAGGGTTGGTGGCAGAAGGAAGCCTCAGCCAACAGCAGGGCCCAGGTTTGATCAGTGTCTGCCTAACCTGTTTTACCAGGTTAGAACTAAGGAGTCTGCTCTCATGTGTGCTCTCTTTATAGAGCATTTGATTTCGAATGCTTCCTCCCTCCCTCGACAATTTCTCAGGGGTTTCAAACCACACTTAAACCAACCCTGAGAATCATTTGTGTTATGACGTCTTGAGCAGGTACAGCCTGATTCCACAGGAGGTATTAACCATTACAGGATATGAAGAGAGCCTAAGCCTTAGCCCCCACCCGTGATGAAGAAGATGTATTTGCAAAGACGAGACTTGGTGTCATGACCAGACTAATGAGCAAAGTAGGGCAGTATATCAAGATGATACATTTATGTAATAAAAGGCATTTAAAAAGAATAGTAAGGCACCATTTGCAAAACAAAACAAGAACAAAAGAACTTAGACGAGGAGAAATTAATGTTGTCTTGGGGGAGGTTTGTATGAAATGGCCTAAGGGATGAGAAGGTTGGGCAGAGAGGAGAGAGGGGCATTTGGGGTTAGGGAGCTTCGTGGCTGGAACCTTTGTGGGAGAAGCAATTGAATGTTGAGAGGAGCTGAGTCCTGTAGAGGATGAGCACAGAGTGAAGGGGTGAGGCCCAGCACGGGGAGCACGGGAGGGCAAGGAGCTTATGAAGGATGGGCGTTTATTGCATTTATTAAAAATATAATAAAAATTAATGTAGTTGCAATTTAAAAATGTAATTTAATAATTGCTTTGTTTAAATTGCTTTAGATAAAGGAGTTTTGATTCAAAGCCGTCTTTCCAGGGCTTAGGGAGGGACACAGGTGGGGAAATGGAGGCGATGCCCGTAGACCACTTCTTAGGACTTCACATGTCAAGTTAGCACAGTGGAGCTTCATTTAGAAAAACTTAAGAATCATTTTTATAATTTTTTTAAATTGTGAAATATACATACCATAAAATTTACCATTTTAACTATTTTTAAGTGTATAATTCAGTGGCATTAAAGATATTCACAGTGTTGTGCAACCATGACCACTTTCCATTTTCAGAACTTTTTCATCATCCCAAACAGAAACTTTGTACCCACCGAATGATAAGTCCACATTCCTCCTCCCCCCAGCCCATGGTAACCACCGTTCTTTCTGTTGCTATGAATTTGCTTGTTCTAGGTACCTCATGTAAGTGGAATCATACAATATTTGTCCTTTTGTGACTGGCTTCTTTCACTTAGCATAATGTCTTCACAGTTCATCCGTGATGCTGCGTGCGTCCGGATTTCCTTCCTTTTTGAAAGCTGAGTCATATTCAGTTGTACGTACATACCACCTTTTGTTTATCTGTTCTTCTATTGATGGACATGGAGGTGATTCCATCGTTTGCCCTTTGTGAATAATGCTGCTGTGGACATTGCCATCTTCATCATCTCGAAATCGCTGATGTGGAAATAACCGATTGCATGTGTGCACATGCTCTGTCTCGTGGCTCTTTGCTTCTATATAGCACGAGTACTATATAAAACTATTTAGTGATTCATGCACTTGATAGTTTTCCCTCTCCTTCCCAGAGGGACTTTGTCTGCTTGTTCACTGTTGTGTCCCGACTTGAGAACTGTGTCCGGCACACTTCACCATTTGTGAAGAAGGAGACTTGAGTAGTGAGGGAAGGAGGAAGGGGGAAGGGCTCCCTTCTGCAGGTCTCCTAGCTCAGACTTGTGCTTTCATGACGTCTGGGAGGGCGAGTCCTGTACTCACTGCTGTACTTAACACGTGGTCATGACTGAGTTCTGGAGATGTAGCTGCTTTTCTCTTCACTTTTGAAGAGAACCACTTTTGAAAAAAGTTGTACAGAACCATTTTTGATATGGAAACATTGTTCAGTGAGAATTTAGGGGTGAGCTAGTAGAATAAACTGGAAGTCAGAAGACTTGAAATTAACCAAGCTTTGCCGTTAAATTAGCCGTGTGCCTGCAGACACATTGTGCCTGTCATTATGATCCCTAATGTATTCCACATGTGATATTCTGTGTTTTGTTTGTTTGCTCGGTCACGTTTCCTGTCATCAGGAGATTATAATCTATAACCAGTTGTCTTGAGCTGAAATGTCAAGGACTTTATGAGTTTCTCATAGAAGAAGACATATTTAGTCTAGTAAATGAAATACAAAGGAACTATTTAAAGAGCTTTCTTCCTCATTTGCAGCTGTGGACAGGGTGAAGAGGCCGTCCCCGGAGTCCCAGAGCAACAACCTGTGGGTCATTGTTGGCGTGGTCATCCCGGTGCTGGTGGTGATGGTGATTGTTGTCATCCTCTACTGGAAACTCTGCCGCACCGACAAGCTGGACTTCCAGCCTGACACTGTAGCCAACATTCAGCAGCGTCAGAAGGTAAGACTCTTCTCCCATGCTCACAGGAGCAATTTTCTGGGGCAGGGATAGGATGAGTTTAGGCTCTTGATACTGCAAGACGGGGGAGAGGGCTGTTAAGGGAATCTTCTGGCTGTCCTGTGGTCTCCGTTTGCCTTCATGTCTATTACTGGAACCCCGTTTCTTCTGTAGCAGTAAATATAGTCCAAGAACATGAAGTTGTATAAAGGCTCAGATATGATATGAACTCTGGGATCCATTGTGACTTTACTTCTGAGAGGGTCAGTTGGAAGATCACATTCATTCTGAGTATGAATTCTGATCTGTTTTACCCCTGGATATTTTCAGAGAACAGAAGCCATGGGAGGTTTTATCAGACCTCTGTATCTATCTCTTTTATACACAGCTCCATTGGATAGCTTTTTTGTTTTCTGTGCACCATATTGGAAACCCACTTATCCACCTTGATCAAAACCACTTAATCATTAAAAACTGGTATTATATGCCTTAAACATTTTAACTTAAAATATATAAATGGACATTTACTTGCCAGTCTTTTGATGTATCCCAAGTCTCCTGTTTTATTTTGAGTGTTGGTCTGTTGAGAGGAATTCTATATGGTCTTTCTTGTGATAAACAGCACCCATAATGTATCAGCTACAATTTCTAGTATGGGTTTTTTTAGAAAAGAACAAAGCAACCTGAGTGCACAATTCTCTAGATTTTTTTTTTTAGTACTTCTCCCTACCCCCCCCACCCAACTCTGCAGTGTTTTAGAATTAATTCACCTATACTGACAGTAAATTTTTTTAGCAGCCATCTTTCATGTGTCTTTCCAAAGCATTCAACTTAGTTTTTATAGAAACAGCAATTCTCTTTTCACACGTGTGTTTCAGTGGTTTCTATAATATTTGACTGTCACATTGGGTTTTAGAGCAAAGAAATTGAGTTTTGCTCAGCATCTAGCACACCTGGTGTGAGCAAAACCATGCCAGAGTACTAGAGAACTCCCTAGCTGCTGACCTGTAGCACAGTGTGACTGTCAGTCAGCGTGTTTGCCAAAGGAATGGAAAGTGGCAGTCGGCTACTGTGGTGTTTATTAACATGTAACCTCTACGGGTCTTACAAATTTAGAGGACTCACTCTACTAGAAAAGTTTGAGAACAAGCAAGCAAAAGGCAAAATAACAAGGAATGAAGGATTGCCCTGTTGATCTTTTAATTTTGTGGTGATTATCTTGGTATAGAAAATTATGCAGATTATAAACCTAGACCTGTGAAATGAAAAAATAAATACTGTACTATTTCTAAAATGTTTTACTTTTGTAAGTGAAGAGTATTCTTTTTTTCTATGAATTAACCAAAAAAATGCAAAAATCTTCATTAAACTGTAAGCTCATGGTTATCATGTATATTAGGAGTATTTTATACATTAATATTGTATTACCTATTTATTATTTATATAAATCTGCTAAAGGCTATTTTGTTGTTAGTGAATGGCATGGAAAAAACCTGGGAAAAAGTACTTAATGTACTAAATGATTCGTAGTGTGACTTTCATTATAATAAGATCAACAATAGGTTTGGAAATGTTTTTGTTCTGGTGAAAGAGTATTGTTACAGAGAGACTTAACCAGTATAGATGGTTATGGATTTAGCTCTCTTGTGGTCCATATGTCCTAACATAAACACTCCTTGCAGAAGCCCATCTATTAATCTGTGACTTTAATAAACTGTCTGAGGACAGTATCTCTTGGGTTCAAAACAGGATATTCCGCAAACTCTCTCCTTCTCTCACTTTTACTTCCGAAATATTTTCACATCCCAGATGTTGCTATAAATCAAATGGACAGAGTTTCAAATAGAACTTCCAGCCCTTGGAGTTACTCTTTTCCTTCAAGTGCTACAAGGATCTGTGCATACAATTCTACAACATATTTATAGGAAAGGTCTTCCACATGGAGGATTCCCCGAAGGAATGACTATCTTTTGACTCTGTTAGGAGGGCAGAACCTCGCCAGCATTTCAGAAGCTTGGTCTCCTTTTGATAGTGCAGTAGTAACCCACTGTACAGATCTTGTCATGTTTATGATAAAAAAAAAAAAGATGACCTTCATTTAGTTTAAAAACAAGAGTCTCTACTCCACGAGCAAAATTTCTTCTAAGGTTATGTGGCAATAGTGAAAGGCCTTTAGCCTATTGCGCAGGGTAATTTACAAAGATGCTGTCCTCCCCTGTGACTGTAAGTTCTTTTTCCTGCTTATGTGGCTTTCTGATCCTCTCTCCCTCCTGCTCACCCCTCCCCCGACACTGCCTCGTCACTACTCTATGAAATCCTTTAGCAAATCCCAGAGCTGCAAACATCTGGAAACAATAAATCTGCTGACCTAAAATCCACACCCCCTTCCCCTTGTAACGAGAAAGAAACCTCTTCATATTGTCTGGGAGTAGATTAGTTTTGAAATATGATAAGAGGGAGAGACCATTCTGTCATGTTTTGAGTCATGGCCCTTTCTTATTTCCAATAATAAATTTTTAAAAATCCTCTGTGTCTTTCTTTTATCTGTATTCTCTTTAATCTGTAGTCCAAAGTCATTATTTGTTATTATGACCTAAAAAGCTCCAGCTTGGACCCTTCTCACCCTGTTGAAGTTCTCTTTATAGATATGAATGGCTCTGGCTGGATGCTCCTGGCCCCATGGAAACTTGCTCCTTCTGATGGGGACAGGCCACACCTCATTGTTGGTGTGGGACCATAGCTGCTGAACAGCTGGCACCCTTGGGTGCTCCCTGTCGGCACTGCAGGCAGCCAGGTGTAGCTGCCTTAGTCACTGGATGTTCACTCACCACATAGTGAGCCAGGCAGGACCGGGCTAAGTTACAAACACAATAACACGTGACCTCCACCTTCCAGGGCTTT